GAGAAAAAGCCTGACTTTCTATCAGAGAGCTCTAGCTAGATATATATATATAAACTCACTAAAAAGTACAGCTCACCAAATTTGTTTAACCTTCGATCTGACAGAGCGCATAGAAAAATCGTCTATTTTTTCTGAGATAATAAATTTTCATGCTTAAACAAAAAGATGCAACAAGGCAGGAAATTAGTCCATGGCTGTTTTAGTATAAGCGCTTCTCCCAAAGAGAAGACAACATGCCCTGCTCAAACCTAGTTGGTGTGTGCAAAACAAGCATAATTGATAGAGATCAAAAGAATTATGTGACAAATCGAATGCAGCCATTAGAAAGAGCGTCAAGAAAATATATAAACCAAATCAATAAAAATAGACAATAAGTTCAATGCGATGAGTTCGAAGCAATACATGATTAGTAATGGATAGCCATTAACTCCTCCTGGCCGAGAGTATCAAGTCGTATAAAAAAGTTTATTGTTTTAAATGTAAAAGCGACGGAAAAAGCATTTTTAAGTAGGCTATGAAGAGCGAGATCGCGCAAGGTTATTTTTGATTTCTGTCTCCTTTATTAAATAGAGTCGGTTCGGCATTGTTGTCATGGCTTGATCGTGCTTAGTGGTAGGCCTCAAATAACAGGCGACTTATGCCATCTTCTTCATGTGCTATTTCAGCATCAGACTGCTAACCAAACACGTTTGTTTAATCCGCACCAGCTGATGTAGTAAGAATGAGGCTTAGCATCAAATTTTGCATACAATTACTAAAATATTTTTTTGGAAAGCCTATAGTTTAAGCATCAAAATAGGACTCCTGCCATTTTTATCTGCTTTCAGTAATGAGTAAGCGTTTCCGCCTCATCTATCTCCATCCTATCGTAGTATATTCTAATCTGTTGAAGAGTTTCATGAAGAGAAGAGGAAAATGAGATAAATCAGTAAATCCAAAGCGCTGGTTTCCGTATCGCTATACTTGGAGTATGTGGGACTGTTTTCAGGCAAGAACTATTACGCTATCCCGTTTGATATTTTTTTCTTATTCTCATTAATAAAATTTATCCTTACGTATTACCATACTGTTTTAGCGATTTAACCTATTTTTGCTTACGTGTAGAGCTTAATTGTTGCCATACATTAGTAAACACAATTTCTTGTATTCTATAAGCAAAGACCTTGTTTACAATCATTTCTTAAGGTTCATGCTTATACATTGATCAATCTTCTTATGCATCTAGACTATTAGCCGTTAGGTAGATTTAAGTTCCTCTTTATAAATATTATGTGGTAGCAGTTAAGCCAAATAATTAATTAGTACACTTAGATGATAGTCATTTTTCCTGCATTCTCACCGCTCAAACTGCTTCATTGAAGATTAGATATCATTGGATAGAAATGTGCTTTTGTAAGACCTACAAAGATGGAGTATTCTAGTTCTCCATTCAAAACAGGTTAAATTACTTTGTTCAGAGTAAGAGGGCATGGCCCAACATGAAGAAAGAAGATATGGCTCATTCACCTAGCCTTACCGTTCGCAATCGAGTATTAGTAGGTCAGCTTGGCGGCCGATGGCAATGCCACCGACTTTGTGGGAAAGATTAATACTATAAGCGGCGTTGATCGTTGCTGCAGCAAGCGACTGCTCCAAGGTAAGATGCATCAGAGTGCATGCAAGGTACATGATTATGGGCTTCAGGTCGAGCCACAGGATAGGAGGATAGAAAAGGCAGGTAAAATTAAATGATAGTATCAGAAGAATGAAATAAATGGCATAATAGTGATAATTTGTGGCAGTCTAGAAAAATAAAGGTCAGAAGATACAGTCAAATGTTTTGATCAAAGACAAGGTCTACAGCCTTAACAATTAAGTATGTTACATATCGTTAAACCAGATTATAAAATATAAGAAAATAATATGACATTACACATAGTGTTGTTAATACAAGGTAATGAATATCTGACCGCATCAAGTCTCTATATTATGCAATCATATTATGTCGGCTTGACTAATTTTGCATAATAGTCATTCAAATTTAGTTTAGATCAAATACTTAGAGTAGGAGAAGCTTGTTTCCTTTTTATCATTATTTTTTGTATGCAATAGAGTTTCGATACTACCAGTAAATCAGTACATCTCATAATACTGATTACAACTTTTGGGAAAGCAAGGCTATGCGAAATTGAATGGAAACGTCAGCTCTACTCATATCACCGTGGAAAAATTCTACTACCAGTCCTTAGTCACCTTAAACGAAATAGGGTGAATACATCTCAGATAGAGATTAACATCGTCTGATATAACTATATGGAACCTTCCATAGCATGAGAGCACCAGGAATGGAATGAAGGGCTGACGGTCAGGAGTAACGGCATGAGTAGCTGCTAAGAGCTGAAAGAGAACCTGATAATAAATAAAGGGGAATAAGCCGAGATGTAGTAATATAAGGGGTACCTTTGTAGAAATAATTCCAGTTGGTAATTCTGAAAAGTGTTGAAGTATTTGAAAGCTTTATTATTTATTAAAAAGTCTCAGTTAAGCACACAGGAAGGCAAAATACGGATGAGAAAGAAATTAGTAGAAAAGGATACAGGATTTCCAAGTCTACAAGTAACAATACTGGTAAATGTTTATATGTCTAAACTAAGTTGTGAATGGCAAGACTAGGTGGCCTTTAGTATGGTTGTGGACTCTTTTCCTTGGTTAGGAGTTTCTTGACCTTGTTTACACAAGCCTTGTTTTTCAAGGAAACCAAGAGAAACGATCATTGTCCAGGCCAATAGTATCCATGATAATTTTCAGCGTCAAACTATGAACTTGGTACATTCCCAGACGTTTCGCCGGCATTGTTAATGCGCTTTGACAGTCTTAGCACCACACTGAAACTCGTCAAAGAGATAAGTGAGGTCGACCCTTTGAACGATTTTCTGCTGAAAAGTTGTGGTATATCTTCTGTTCGGGTACATTCACCTATTCTATATCCTTGTATCACCCTTCAACCTATTTCAAGTGTGCCATTGAACCCATTTAGTAAACCCTATTCACACTCCCCTCTTGTTCTCTCATCCCTCTCCACCGTGCTGGGAGTGTTGATCCAAGTCTGCCCTTTCAGTCCTTTTCCCACTTCATCCAAGTCCTATCAGAGGCTGCCTTTGGCGTCGTAGGGTTTGTCTCTTGTCCCCATGGTTAAGTGGTTCCACTCGATCACTGCCACCATATCCGTATGACTCGAGGCGTTATGTTGTACGCTCTGTCCAAAGCCTTTTATAGTACATATCCTCCAACCCCTAAAATCTGGATTCTCAAGCTGCATGGAAACCCAACTTGGCGACGTGGATTCCCTTATCACTGTTCGGCATGTGCTCTGAGTAAATCTCGTGGTCAAGTCTTTACTTCAGGAACCACGTCTATGATCAACCACGTCTACTGTTAGCCAACTATTTCTGGTCTCCGCCCCAAATATTGTGCTTCTATCGATAATGCCAAGTCTCCGACTTGCTATGCCCTAGTCTCTTGTGTGTCAACCTGCAAATGTGATAGACATTCTACATGGCTCACTATAGACTTCTCCTCTTGATTTTCAATTGCTTCTCTCAGGCATCCTAATTACGATTTTTCATAAAGTTGTAAATATTTTCTTATTTAGTTATCTTCTTTCTGGTGATCTTGTTGTTCCCTGATCTCCTACGAGTTTGCCTAAGCAATATGCAAAGTATCGCTAATCCTGCCTTCTTCAAGTCTCCAGCTCATTTTATTTATCTTATAGATACGAAGAGAAACTTGGTTTCGATGAATCTCCTGAGATAACATTGTTAGGTTAAAATGTACACGACAGGATATCGATGGATTCTCGAATCTTGCGCTTTATTGTATTTTCACCAATGCAGCCAGTCTTTCTGTCATTTACCAGTCGATTACAAACCCTATCTATGCTATGTGTTCCCCTATTTCGGATCTTTCAGTATCCATGTTTCTGTAGAGCATTTGATGTTACTCAATTTTTAGGCTATTTTTTCTTCCTATTTCATTAATATGCCTCTGCTCACAGTTGCTGATTGTGGTGCCCCACATACAATCCAGTTTGCCAACCTTTTCCTATTGCTTCGGCAGGCTAGTAAGTGTTGACTTGTTCTTACTTATCACTTAGATATTCCATTTTCCTAGTAACTGTTGCAATTTTTGTCTCAGTTCTCATGAAGACAGGCATATCCACTTTTGGTCGTGCTTTCACTTCCTGATTTTAGTTTCATAATATACAAGCTTACATCTGC